CAATTGAAGTAGAAGCTTATGATAGTGATCATGAAACTTCAGATCAAGTCACTACCGAACCTCGTAGGACGACAAGGACGCATACTGCTTCAGATTGGTACGGTGATCCTGTCTTAAAGGTCATGTTGCTAGACAACAATGAACCTACGAGCTATGAAGAAGCGATGGTGGGCCCAAATTCCGACAAATGGTTAGAAGCCATGGAATCCGAGATAGGATCCATGTATCAGAACAAAGCATGGACTTTGGTGGACTTGCCCGATGATCGGCAAGCCATTGAGATAAATGGATCTTTAAGAAGAAGACGGATGTGGACGGTAATGTCACCGTCTATGAAGCTCGACTTGTGGCGAAGAGTTTTTCACAAGTTCAAGGAGTTGACTACGATGAGATTTTCTCATCCGTAGCGATGCTTGAGTCCGTCGGAATCATGTTAGCATAAGCCGCATTTATGAAATCTGGCAGATAGATGTCAAAACGAGTTTCCTTACCAACTTTCGTAAGGAAAGGTTGTATGTGATACAATCAGAAAGGTTTTTGTTGATCCTAAGGATGCTAAAAGGTATGCTAGCTCCAGCGATCCTTCTAAGGACTGGAGTAAGCATCTCGGAGTTGGAATATGCACTTTGATAGGATGATCAAAGATTTTGGGTTTATACAAAGTTTATGAGAAACTTGTATTTCCAAAGAAGTGAGTGGGAGCACTATAGAATTTCTGATAAGTATATGTTGTTGATCAGAAATGATGTAGAATTTCTGGAAAGCATATAGGGTTATTTGAAAGATGTTTTTCAATAGAAAACCTAGATTAAGCTGCTTGAACATTGAGCATCAAGATCTATAAGGATAGATCAAAAACGCTTAATGGTACTTTCAAATGAGCACATACCTTGACATGATCTTGAAGGTGTTCAAGATGGATCAGTCAAAGAAGGAGTTCTTGCCTGAGATGTAAGGTATGAAGTTAAGAGTTAAAGCTCGACCACGGCAGAAGAGAGAGAAAGGACGAAGGTCGTCCCCTATGCTTCAGACGTAGGCTCTATAGTATGCCGTGCTGTGTACCGCACTGGAAGTGTGCCTTGCCATGAGTCAGTCAAGGGGTACAATAATGATCCAGGAATGGATCATTGGACAGCGGTCAAAATTGTCCTTGAAGTAAATAAGGACATGTTTCTCGATTATGGAGGTGATAAAGAGTTCGGCGTAAAGGGTTACGTCGATGCAAGCTTTAATACCTATCCGAATGACTCTGAGTAGCAAACCGGATACGTATAGTGGAGCAACCATTTGGAATAGCTCCAAGTAGAACAGTTATTTGGAATAGCTCCAAATAGAGCGTGGTAGCTGCATCTAGGAGATGACATAGAGATTTGTAAAGCACATACGGATCTGATTGTTGCAGACCCGTTGACTAAAACCTCTCTCACAAGCAAAACATGATCAAACCCCAGAACTCATTGAGTCTTAATCACATGATGATGTGAACTAGTTTAATGACACTAGTAAACTCTTTGGATGTTGATCACATGGTGATGTGACCTGTCAATGTTAATCACATGGTGATGTGAACTAGATTATTGACTCTAGTGCAAGTGGGAGACTGTTGGAAATATGCCCTAGAGGCAATAATAAAAGTGTTATTATTATATTTCTTTGTTCATGATAATAGTCTTTTATTCATGCTATAACTGTATTATCCGGAAATCGTAATACACGTGTGAATACATAGACCACAATATGTCCCTAGTGAGCCTCTAGTTGACTAGCTCGTTGTGACCAACAGATAGTCATGGTTTCCTGGCTATGGACATTGGATGTCGTTGATAACGGGATCACATCATTAGGAGAATGATGTGATGGACAAGACCCAATCCTAAGCCTAGCACAAAGATCGTGTAGTTCGTATGCTAAAGCTTTTCTAATGTCAAGTATCTTTTCCTTAGACCATGAGATTGTGCAACTCCCGGATACCGTAGGAATGCTTTGGGTGTACCAAACGTCACAACGTAACTGGGTGGCTATAAAGGTGCATTACAGGTATCTCCGAAAGTGTCTGTTGGGTTGGCACGAATCGAGACTGGGATTTGTCACTCCGTGTAAACGGAGAGGTATCTCTGGGCCCACTCGGTAGGACATCATCATAATGTGCACAATGTGACCAAGGGGTTGATCACGGGATGATGTGTTACGGAACGAGTAAAGAGACTTGCCGGTAACGAGATTGAACAAGGTATCGGTATACCGACGATCGAATCTCGGGCAAGTACAATACCGCTAGACAAAGGGAATTGTATACGTGATCGATTGAGTCCTTGACATCGTGGTTCATCCGATGAGATCATCGTGGAACATGTGGGAGCCAACATGGGTATCCAGATCCCGCTGTTGGTTATTGACCGGAGAACGTCTCGGTCATGTCTACATGTCTCCCGAACCCGTAGGGTCTACACACTTAAGGTTCGATGACGCTAGGGTTATAAAGGAAGCTTGTATGTGGTAACCGAATGTTGTTCGGAGTCCCGGATGAGATCCCGGACGTCACGAGGAGTTCCAGAATGGTCCGGAGGTAAAGATTTATATATGGGAAGTCCTGTTTTGGTCACCAGAAAAGTTTCGGGTTTTATCGGTAACGTACCGGGACCACCGGGAGGGTCCCGGGGGTCCACCAAGTGGGGCCACCGGCCCCGGAGGCTTGCATGGGCCTAGAGTGGAAAGGGACCAGCCCCAGAGTGGGCTGGTGCGCCTCCCACCCTTGCCCAAGGCGCAACTAGGAGGGGAGAGGGCAAACCCTAGGGCAGATGGGCCCTAAGGCCCACCCCAGGCGCGCCTCCCCTCTCTCCCCCTCTTGGCCGCCCCCCCAAGTCCCATCTAGGGCTGGCCGCACCCCTTGGGGTGGGAAACCCTAAAGGGGGCGCAGCCCCCCTTTCCCCTATATATATTGGAGGTTTTGGAGCAGCCCAACACATGAGAACTTCTCCCTCTTGGTGTAGCCCTGCCTCTCCTCCTCCTCCTCTCCCTTGGTGCTTGGCGAAGCCCTGCTGGATTGCCACGCTCCTCCACCACCACCACGCCGTTGTGCTGCTGCTGGATGGAGTCTTCCTCAACCTCTCCCTCTCTCCTTGCTGGATCAAGGCGTGGGAGACGTCACCGGGCTGTACGTGTGTTGAACGCGGAGGTGCCGTCCGTTCGGCACTAGGATCTCCGGTGATTTGAATCACGACGAGTACGACTCCTTCAACCCCGTTCTCTTGAACGCTTCCGCTTAGCGATCTACAAGGGTATGTAGATGCACTTTCCTTCCCCTCGTTGCTGGTTTCTCCATAGATAGATCTTTGTGACACGTAGGAAAATTTTGAATTTCTGCTACGTTCCCCAACAAATGGTTCCACATTTGTAGAGCCAACTTGAAGGTCCGTAAAACTGCATATCTGCGATGGAGTCATGTCGAGCTCGGGTGATGAGGTGATGTGTGTCCTTTGATGGCTGTTATGGTGGTGCCGAAGGCAGACGATGGGCATTGGTGTCAAGCTCTTTCAGTCTTGATTGTAATTTTTTCTTAGACCGGTGGTCCTTTGTTCAAAGGCTAGTATTCTGTTGTTTTTTAAGTTTTGTGAGAGGTGGATTTCTACGTGGCTTACTATGGGTTAGTTCTTTTGGGGCAACTTGCTTATTTTTACCGTCAGCCATAAGACTCAAAAGTTATGATATGAATGAGACATGTATTACCGTGAATACATTTCTCAAAGTTGAAGTGTCCATGCAGGTCAGGTTAACACTTTTTTTTAGAGTACGCCAAAAGCGTACCTTAATTATATAGAAGAAGAAAGCAGAGTATACATTACAAGAAAGGAAGCAGAGCTTCCAAAACCGAAACGCACACCCTAGCCACCCGACGAACTAGCCTATGCCTACACTCTCACAGAACGATCCATAACCTCCTCCTCCTAATCCCGCTAGCCTCCAATCCTTGAGCTCTGTGACAATGGCGTGCGCCAAATCCAACGCGGTCTTCTGCTGGTTGGGCCGATGAAAGACTCTTGCGTTGCGCTGCTTCCAAAGGGCCCAGATAGTCAGGATGATCACCGTGTCAAAACCACGCTTATGGCCTTTCCTGAAGTTTGCTCTAGTGGTCAACCACCAATCTAACAAGGTGTCAGCGTGTATAGGGATGGAGCCCCTCAGGTTCAGCTTCTCAAACATGTAGTGCCACACCTCCCTAGCATAGACGCACTGGATGAGAATATGCTCCGCGTTATCTTCATCTTGCAAACAGGTGTAGCAAGCGGATGGTTCACTTTGGAGTCCATGCCTCGCTCTTCTATCAGATGTCCAGATTCGGTGCTGCACGGCCAACCACGCAAAGATTTTACACTTAAGAATAGTCCAGCTTCTCCAAATGCATGAGGCATAGGGGGCCCTCTCAATACCCTGACACAGCCGGTTATATGTGGATTTCGCCGTACACACACCTGAGGGATCAGCAGGCCAGGAGAAACTGTCTTCACAGGCGGGGTCACGGTTGATCGTGCTTATCGCAAGATTGAGCCATCCATTTCCCAAACAAACGTACCTGCCCGAGGGTGACCCCTTTTCCAATCGGGCTACCACACACATGGATCACGAATTCACGAGTCAGCAGAGCTCACACCATCACACCACCGGACCCACCGCGTTGGCCTTGGTCAAGTCAGTCCTCCATCTCCCCCATTGCTCGTCCACACAGAATTATTATTGACACAAATCATAGTCCGCCAAAGGAAAAAGAAAAGAGCGTCAGTAAACTGCTCCCTAATTTCGACCCAGTTGCTCACACATTATATCTCACGGTCGCCGTCACTCTCACTGTGTAGCCGCGCGTGCATATATATGCGTGCTAATGCCACTCTTTCTCCACAAACCTAGCAGCAGCAGCAAACACACCAGCTAGCCGCGCGCACCATTGATCACCTTCTCACCCTCCTTCTCGAGAGTTAGTTGAGAATCATCCTGAGGCAGTGCTAATGGCGGGCCCAGCGGCGTCGTTGAGGTTCACGGTGAGGAGGAAGGCGGCCGAGCTGGTGACGCCGGCCGGGCCGACGCCGAGAGAGTTGAAGCGTCTCTCGGACATCGACGACCAGGACGGTCTGCGGTTCCACATCCCCGTCATCCAGTTCTACCGGCGCGACGCGTCCATGGGCGGCAGGGACCCCGCGGCGGTGGTCCGGGACGCCGTGGCCAGGGCGCTCGTGCACTACTACCCGTTCGCCGGCCGGCTGAGGGAGCTTGAGGGTCGTAAGCTCGCCGTCGACTGCACCGGCGAGGGCGTGCTGTTCATCGAGGCCGATTCCGACGTGCGTCTGGAGCACTTCGGCGACGCCCTGCAGCCGCCCTTCCCGGGGCTCGAGGAGCTCATCTTCGACGTCCCTGGCTCGTCCGAAGTCCTCGGCACCCCACTCCTCCTCTTCCAGGTAACTTTGCCTTTCTTTCGTGAAACTCAAACACTAACGCATGTTTGTGCGCACGTGCGAGCGCGATCGATGCATGGCTGACCGTTGTTCGTACTACGTTCAGGTGACACGCCTGGCGTGCGGAGGCTTCATCCTGGCGGTGCGGCTGATGCACACGATGGCGGACGCGCAGGGGCTGGTGCAGTTCCTTTCCGCCGTGGCGGAGCTGGCGCGTGGCGCGGCGGCGCCGTCGGTGCGCCCGGTGTGGGACCGGGAGCTGCTGGAGGCGCGGAACCCGCCGCGCCCTGGCTTCGCGCACCGTGAGTACGACGAGGTGCCGGACACCAAGGGCACCATCGTGCCGCTGGACGACATGGCGCACCGCTCCTTCTTCTTCGGGGCCCGGGAGGTCGCCGCCATCCGGTCCCACCTGGCGCCGGGCCTCCGGAAGCGCGCCACCACGTTCGAGGTCCTCACGGGGAGCCTGTGGAAGTGCCGCACCGTGGCGCTGGCCCCCGACGCCGACGAGGTGATGCGGATGATCTGCATCGTCAACGCCCGCGGCGGCAAGCAGGGCGGCGCGAGCGCCATCCCGGCCGGCTACTACGGGAACGCGTTCGCCTTCCCGGTGGCCGTGTCGGCGTCCGGCGACCTGTGCGCGAACCCCCTGAGCTACGCCGTGAAGCTGGTGAAGGAGGCCAAGTCGGAGGTGGACGTGGAGTACATGCGGTCGGTGGCGGACCTGATGGTGCAGCGCGGGCGGCCGCACTTCACGGTGGTGCGCGCGTACCTGGCGTCGGACGTGACCAAGGCCGGGTTCGGCGACCTGGACTTCGGGTGGGGCAGGCCGGTGTACGGCGGGCCGGCGAAGGGCGGCGTGGGCGCCATCCCCGGGGTGGCCAGCTTCCTGATCCCGTTCAAGAACGGCAAGGGCGAGGACGGCATCGTGATCCCCATGTGCCTGCCTGGCCCCGCCATGGACAAGTTCGTGGAGGAGATGGGCAAGCTGCTGCGCCCGGCCGTCGACGTCCCCGACATGTTCCCCGCCATGATCAAATCTGCGCTCTGAATCAGCGGGCGCGCGTGCGCTGTCCCATCGTCCGTTTCGCTGTCCGTAATTACGTACCCGGTTATTTGGTAGCGAACAGTTGTTGTTAGTTGTAACTTGTAAGTAGAACTTATAATCCGCAGTGGGTGTGTGGTGCTGATTTGTACAGCGCTTGTGATGGAGCGGAGTGAACAAGGCTCGTCGGATGCGCTGCGGCTGACGGGCGCGCATGGGTTGTAAGGGTGACTTTGTATGTGTCTGTTTGAATAATTCCAATGTATTGCCATACCATTTTGAACAGAACTACTGTAGTGTGCTATGCATTCTCTGCCGCCTGTTGCTGTATGTATATGCCTGTCTCCACGAAACAACTCTGCATTTTTGGGGTGCTGGCTGCCTTTCTTTTTGCTAATGGGCCTTCCACTAGCCAGAGATAGCGATAGCCTGGACAGCCCTGAGTCAGTTTCCTGCAGTGTGTGTGCCTTAGACCTTGTACAATGAGAGATGTTTAGAAAAATAAATCGAGATTTTCTAAAGCATCGGTGTCTATTTTTACAGGAGAGACACTTAGTTAAGCGTCTACCCTGTACAAATAAGGCCCTGTCTGGTTCATAAGTCTTTGGACTTTTTCTAGTTTCAACTAAAAAGTCTCTAGTCCAAGTCCCTCCCTGTTTGTTTCTAGGGACTAAAAAGTCCCTAGTCCCTCTCTAAAGGTTATTAAATGACCATGTTACCCCTATTATATAGAAAAATAACAACCAAACAACATTATGGGGTGGCGGGCCAATGGGTGCATGAAGGGGCATTGTTGAAAAAGTCCAAAAAAATCCCAAAAAAGACTCTCCTTGAGAGTCTTTCTCATTTAGTCCCAAAAAGCAACTTTTAGTCCCTAATAGTCTCTCCCGTTTGGTTAAAAAGTATCTAAAAGGGACTTTTTATAGTCCCTACACCAAAAAGTCCCTGGAAACAAACACCCCCTAAGCACTGGTGCTTAAGGAAAGTTTGGTTTATTTCTCTAAGCACCTCCCATTATACAAGGCCTTATGCGCCTGAACAGCTGCCTGGCGCCGAGAGCTCCTGTTTGGCGCCTTATGTGCCCGAGGAGTCGGATTCGAACTCAGCACCTCAACCTTCGCATATCAGTGCATGAACGGCTGCACCATCAAACGACTTGTGTTCATAGATTTCGTTTGCTTTCTTTTATCCGTTCTCTAGCTCGCAAAGCCCCTGGTGTGGGGAAGCGTCCAAACCATTTTTTCTTATTTTTTCTTTTTCTGTAACGGTTTTATTTGCTTTTTTCCTTTCCCTTTTTCCTAAATACGTGAACTTTTCTAAAAGAATATCAAAGGAAAACATTAAAAAAAGAAATGAACTTTTTTCAAAATTTAAAAAAGTTCATTGGTTTTTTAAGTTCATCAAAACTGAAGAAAGTTCATCGAATCTGAAAAAAAGTTCATCGAATTTTAGCAAAGTTCATCATAATTGAAAAAAGTTCATCGAAAAATAATAGAAGTTCATCGAATTTGAGAAAAGTTCAACATAATTCAAAAAAATTCGCCAAATCTGGAAAATAGTTCATCGATTTTTTGAAAAAAGTTCATCAAATTCGAAAAAGTACATCAAATTTGAAAAAAGTTCATTGACTTCAAAATGATTTCATCGAATTTGAAAAAAGTTCATAGCGTTTGCAAAAAAGTTCACCAAATTAGAAAAAAGTTCATCCAATTTGAAGAAAAGTTCACTAAATTTGAAAAAAGTTCATCGAACTTGAAAGATAGTTCATCAAATTTTGGAAAAAGTTTAAGAAACCCGGTGAACATTACGAATTAGAAAAAGGAAAGAAAGAAAAAGAAAATAAGAAAGAAAAAGAAAAGAAAGAACAAAAGACGTAAGAAAATGTACTTGATCATAAAACGTTGAGTGGCGGGGTGGTTATCACGTGGCACGCTGAATGGCTTGTGTTCGAGTCCTCCCACGTACTATTTTTTTGCATCAGTTTAGAAAGAAAGCATGGAATTTGGGCCGGCCCGCGTCGCGAGGGGGGTATGCGCCCTGTACGATTAACACTGTATTCGCGCTGAAGGCGCCGAATAGGAACCAGCCATCCGCCCTTTTTTGTGTGACAACGTGTCCTCCTCTCCTGGGTTTCTGCCTGATTCGTCAAGTTTTTCTTGAGAGAAAATAATTCATCAAGTTTTTGTAGTAACAAATAATTCCTCATTCATCAAGTGTTCTGGAAACTAAAATATTTAGCCCAAAGGCCCAGCCCATTTCTGTAGCTAGATGCTGCTAGCCCAATATCAGGCTAGAACGGACCTCTAGAATATTTCTGGCCTATCCAGTCGTCGCCCTATTTGTCTATATTTTATGGAGTTCTAAGCGTCCGAAATCACTAATTAAGGAGTACTCGTTGCAAAGAGCACTCCACTTTTTCAGGTCGTGACAAATGGCGCACATGCAGCGTGTCACTTGTCGCAACCTGGGAGTTTTCCCTTTTCATAGATCTGTTTATTCAAAACGTTTTAGGTCTTAAACCGTGCGTCCAAATCTCGAACCGTTTTCACCGTTGGATTCCTCGCGTCGAGATCTTCAAAACTAGCCATGTTGATAGGTTTTGACAAACTTTTTTTTCATGAAAAACCGGATGAAAAAAACCGGGCGAAAAAACCGGACCGGAAGCATGGTTTTTTTCCCTTTCCGAAAGAGGCACGTCCGTGCCTCTCGCGAAATCACAACCTTACCTTTCGTGGAAGCAAAACTGTGACTCTCGTGGAAGGAAAAAAAATAGAAAACGCGTTTTTTTTCCGTTTCCGAGAGGCACGGCCGTGACTCTCGCGAAAGCACAACCGTGCCTCTCGCGAAAGCAAAATCGTGACTCTCGCGAAAGAAAAAAAAACAGAAAACGCGTATTTTTTTTCCTTTCCAAGAGGCACGGCCATGACTTTCGCGAAAGCA